CAAATATCTTTCTGGAGGTTACAAAGCAGATGAAGGAGGCTCGAAATCAGATGCAATACTAGAATGAGCAAGTGCAGGCTAGGGTTAGAATAGAGATAGCTATAGCAGCTACAAAGTGGATCCTTATAAAATAACAGAGATTTATACAGCAGATCAGTAATACTCGAACTCTAGCTAAAAGAGATTAGCATTAGAAGAGATTATCTGTACTGGGTACCAGATTCATCAAGACAATGATAGAGTCCTACCTGTGGTACCAACTACGGAGCAAAACCTCTAGGTAAACTTTATGGAGACCTTATAGGCTATGTTAAGCAACCATCAATATCTGGTATACTTGATTAAGTTAGAAGTTTAGAATGCAGGTTAATAGCTACAGGTTCTAGTCTCTCCTCAGCATTCCCCCTTCCATGCCTATCTTAAAGAAGTACTTACTACAATGTCTTAAGAGATAAATTGACGAACTCCTAGACCAGCTACAGAGTCTTGTCAGGGTGATAGTGGTTGAAGGATGGACAAGTACTAAGTTGCTTCTCCACCACCACAATCTGCAAAGGATTGCGTAGACTTGCCCGCTGAAACTGATACACCAATGCTGTCTGCCCATGTTCTTGGGCCTGACTACCATTACCAAGCAGTAGTGAATACACTCCTGTTGCAGCTAGTCTATTTTCTTGTTATTCTTACACCTACTCCTGTTCCTCTAATTCCTAGTATACCTTGTTCACACCAGAACTCTACTGATGCAAATACTATCTTTAAGGAGCATTGGCAATGACAGCAGGTGAGGAAATGCAACACACAAGGGGAAGCACATATCTGAAGGCCTTTATTGCAGGGGGGTACAGTTTTCTGAGACACTTATTGTCTAGTTGTAGGAGGACCATACTTTCCAAGTACTACAGATACACTTATCTAGTCTGCCCTAATAGATAAGAGAACAAATCAGGTACAGTGCACACAATCTGGAAAGCTGATTCATTTTTGGTAGAAATATTTCTTTGTTGACCCAGTTGTTAGTTCATTAAAAGAGACTAAGTCAATAACCATGAAGCAAACAGCTAAAGATACTGAAGTCAATGAAGAATTGAAAGGCAAAATTCGTCATATTAAAATACCATCTGCAAAGAGGTTGCTTGAAGTCCAAAAATTGTTTCCTGACATCATGGAAGTGGATACGAATGGGAGGAAATAGGTAAGTTCTGTTCCTGAAGACAAAATAAGAAAACACTGATATAACTTCAGGAAATTATATGAAAGCCTCTGAGAGTTAGTATAACCAAAGAAATCCTGCAGTTAATATAAAGCGATAAGGCCTCTGTTTGTGAGTAGTCCATTCTTGTTCTTTATGTTAAAAGACAAAACATGTTGGAAAGTCCTGATGCAGTATATCTCATGCAAAGGGATATTTAACATTTGCCTTGAAATATTTTATCAAAGTAGTATTTCTACTTCCTGCTTAATTAACAATTGTAGAAGATAATCCTCTGTAGAAAAATAAACTAATTACTGGAAAGAAAGATGTAGTTGAAGGCATTGGATTGGAAAACTTCTATCATGCATCTTGTTTCCTATTAGTCACTATGCTGCTTCTGGTACTGAAATGTACCGAGTATCTAGATATACTTTGACTTCATCAATATTCAACTCATTACCAATAAGGAGATTTGCACAGTCTGGTCCCATATATACAGATTTGTATAAATACTTTACTGCCTGAATTGAGGGACATATTTCCACATTAATATGACAGTTGTAGTATTTGGTAAGAAATGAATTATAAGAAATAACATAGCAATTGTCATAGTGAAATGTAGATGTTCTCCCATCAGACTGGACTCTGCTTTCCTCAATATATCCTCTCTCTTGCTTATAGCGATAGTGAGAATATCTATCTTCTCTCAGTATTGTCACCTGTAAAAAGCTTTTAAAATAGTGTTTGGAGCAATAACCATTAAGGCTCCTACCACTGGCCATGCAGGGAGAATTATAGTTTCCTTCACTACATGGTCTATGAAGCATACAGGTCATAACAGTCTTCCAAAGTTGAGGATCTAGATCCTTATCCGAGATCTCAGCAGAAACTACTAGGTCAATTTTCTCTGCTGTGTGAATAATATCTGCCATGTTCAATATTATTAATATATGTGCATGGAGTAGCCCCCTTTTTTGAAACTCAATTACATAGATCTGTGCCTTCACCTTTCCCAAGATACTTTTATCAATCAGGTCTTACATAAGACTGGAGAGCTTTAATTGAAGTACTCAAGCCACTAACTCAGAACAATCAGCTGCTTACAATTTATAGAGTACGTTATCCTTAATATCTGGCTATGCAGGATTGCAACTCATGGTAATGAAGAAATCAGACTTCCCAAATACACATAAAATTGCCATTACATCTTGGTATACTTTGGTCATTTTTCTTAGTGATCCAGTAAAGCTTGAGGAAAGAATCACTCGCTTTCTAAAACTGGCTAAGACAATATCTCCTTGATTGACTAAGGTGTCGGCAAGTTCTTAGTATTGATCACTTTGAAGATTTTTTTAATTTGAGAAGACCCTTTTCAAATTATTTTGCTCAGTAGCAGCAATGGCATTAACACACCATTCTTGAAAAAGTCTCCTTGCTAGAAACAGATGCAAAGAATTAGGAGAACATATATGAAAATAGTAGGCATAAAATAATGCTAGTGTAACTCGTTTTGATCCTCTATGTCCTGTTGTTGGATTCTCTTGCTGAAAGGTGATTCATGTCTCTATATCTCCAGGATGGTCATCAACTATAGTATAGTTATTTCATACTGTATGTCCAGCAATCTCATTGCCTGTCAGTGGAATATCTAGATGCTATCTAAGTTCGTCTCATATTATAATAAATAGATATCAAAGAGGCAGGTATAATGCGCATAATTCTGAAATTCATTTAAGTAGTTCATCTTGATGCTCAGGACCTGTATATCACAGAATAATCTCTCCTAGTTCCACATTTTCTTCCCCCATTCCTTCAATTAAAACTCTAATCTCATATATTGATAGAGCCTTATAAGTATGAGAATCTTTTCCATGATCTCAAGGATCTTGAATTTGTAGACACAGAATTCAGACAATTTGTAAATTTGATGTAATTAAGTCACCAACCGAGTAAAACAGTTGTACATATGAATTTGTTTCTAATAAATACAGTTGAATTTGAGTGACAATAAGGGCATCAAGGTTGTCAAATACTTGTAGTCTATTCCCAATCTCAGTAGCATAGTTGTTGGAATCATGGGTATTGATTTGAGCAAACTTAAAGGTCTGGCCATAAATAGGAAGTAGAGATTTGATTCTATGATATAATGCACCTTTGATACGAAAGGAATACACTCTACCCACTCGTAAGCCAATCATTTACTCACCTACTCCCAAAGAGGTAAAAGCAAAGATATTATTATCAGAGTGAATTTTGAGATAAAATTCTTTAGCTACTCTTATTTTCAATAATTAGTTATAGTACTTAATACTATTAATAATTAAAGTAATTAGAAATAACTTACATATATATTGTGAGGTAAACAATTCCAATATCTGAGGAGCTGGCTGCTGAATATTTGGTAAAGTCACCTTTCCGTTTGTACAATATTTTGAGAAGATAAGAGCTCCAACTCGTGAACGGGAACTCTTCTCCTCAAGAAAATACAATATTTTGTAATAATAACACTCATAGCTTAATTATGAAAGAGTGAAACAATCAATTCCAGATACAGAATAGAGTGCTGAGCGGTACAAAATAGATCTGGAAATACTTGTTATCTCACAGAATTCAAAGTTAGTTTATTCAGTCATATAGAAACAATATTAGCAAAGATGGTAATCCAATGACTATATTATTGACAATCAAACTTGCCGCAGAATAGTCTCAGCGTCAATTTCAGACTCGAGTTGCTGTTCGTGCAGCACGACACTCAGACCATATCCGATAAGAGCCTCTTGGTACTTGTCTGGCAAAAGTATCATCTTCCCTAGTTCTTCAGCACGCGGAGCAGGTTTGCATCTTCGACTCTGTGAATGTTGAAATCTGAAAAGTTGCTTGTAAATAACCTGAGTAAAGATAGTAGTAAACAGATATTGGAAAGAGTTGCAAGAAAATAAAGGCTTTAGTATATGTGATATGCCTTAAATGTATTCCTAAAACTGTGAACAAACATACTATTTAATGGCTACTTTTGGTTAATAGGACTAAGAGCAAGAGACTCTACTTTATATTCAGTATTATAAAAGGTTAAAAGGTAATATTATAGGCTTGGACAATTAGAAATAGCTGGAAATTTAATATTATATTGAGTTAATTCATCTTATCAACTATATAGAATTGGATTTTGTGAGTGGCTTGTGGCTATGTACAATAGTTGAGTCTAATAATCTCTTTTGCATATAATGCATAAATTACACTCAAGGTTACAATTGTATAAATGGTAATATTACAGGTTTGGACAATCAGGAATAGCTAGAAATTAAGTATTAAGTTCTGTCAATTAATTTCTTTAAGTCTATGGAATTAGAATTTGTGAGTAGTCCTTTAAAGTATGTAATAGTTGACTATAATGAATATATATATTCCGTATATTTATTGTTGTATGAGTTTAAGAGTTAATGTTACCTTGCTGACTTATTTTCTTGGCATCACGTGAATGTCTTGGCATTTTGGTCACATGATCGTGCTTTTTGGAAAAGCTTGTTTTATATAATAAGATGTACTAGTACTTGTACTCCGGTACCAGGGGTAAGTCCAGCCCGTCACGGCAAAATCTCAGAGTTTACTAAGCCTATTCTTGGCGCTGATTGCCTATTCCAGGTATCGCCCTCCATACGACTTAACGCCAAGAACATGGTTGCTTTAGTGAAAATCCCCTTTCCCATACTCGAGTAACTTATAGGTGTGGCGCCCGACTTAAGGTACCGTAACAATCGCCTTCTCCCAATCCCCCCTCCCACCCAATTTTCTGGTTTCCATCTTCCTCCCCCAACGCTTACTTTCCCATGATATTACTTATACAACTGATAAAGAACCCTGCCTACTCTGCTAATTATCATCATGCTGGCGGCTCTCCTCCTTGCAGGCGCAGAACCGCTGCCTCTTCGAGAAGCATTGTCTGGGATTATGGGATCCATTTCACTAGTGTCATGGATCTTTCTTTTGGTAAGTGCAGCCCTCAATTGGCTCTGCCTTTCAATGCCGTCCTTCTCTTAAATACTCAGGAGATTGCTGTCCGTTCCTCCAGATATTTCTTTGCTAATATTCTTCGGGCTTCAGATACCACAAGTTACCGAAAATTACAGGGATGGCAGCGCTGAAGGAGTTTCTGTTGCGTTTATTACCATATGGATACTTGGAGATATTGCCAATTTAATCGGTATTACTTCCGCCGACTCCTTGTGGCTCTCTACCTTTATATTCCGTGGCGTTTCCATACGGTTGGCTGACATCACCCACTCTGGACTTTTAGGCGCCCTATGGGGACGTTTGCTTTCCACCGTGATCGCTCTGGCAATTTATTTCTGCGTGTCAGATGTGATTCTGCTTTCTCAGACAATCTACTACAATCATGTCACCGATGCTCTCGCTGCTAGACGTGAGCGTGCACCATGTTCCACTCCTGCGGATCTTCATAGCCCAACTCAACCACTGCTCGCTCGCCCCCGTCGTAAGAGCTCGGGTGCTAAGTCACGTCATCGGAGGTCTAGCTCACGACGCCCGGCCTCGCTATCGGCCATTCTTCGGAGAGAAACGAGTGCCAGTATGACCATTTTGAGAAATATACTGGTCATCTCAAGCATCTGTTTTGCGGGGACATTGGGTTGGTTCGTCGCCTGGAGGAGCGGCGCGTGGTCTACAACTGAGAAGAATGACGACAACCGGGAAATGCCAGGAGGTGCTGAGATGCTAGGATACTTAGGTGCTTTACTATATCTCGGGCAAGTGTATGCTTTTATGAGGGCATTTCCTTTCTAACATCTCTTACAGCGCCCGAATTCCCCAGATAATTAGAAATCACCACAACAAATCATGTGGCGGTCGGTATTTGCCCTTCCGATAACCCCTTTTGCGCGACGCTGATTTGGTGGAGGACTCTCGTTGCTATTTTTCTTGTTATCTCTCCTTGGAAATCTTACTTATGGGGCAGGGGTATGGTTGCTTATTCTTGTATCAGGGATTCAATTTTTCTCACTGCTCTCCAGATATTATGCCATTCTAGCGACCGTACATACATAAAGGACAACCTTCCGTGGCTGATTGGGAGTTTAGGAACAATGTCCCAAGACGTCATTGTAAGAAACCTCCTTTTCGACATCAGATACCCCTCACTGATAGCCATAGATTTTCATACAGTTTCATATCTATTCCAGAAATTCCATGGAAACTACCCAAGTCTGTTCTGCGGCAATATATGATGAAAACTGATTATAGGGATGTTCTAATGCTGGATCCTATTAAGAACCTTGATATTCCTACCACATTCATTTCGGCATCCCGTTTGTTACTCTTTTTTGGCTACCCACCACTGTACCAGCATTTATCCATCCATGTATCATTAAAGAGGAATAAGAGAAAAGGAAAAAGAGAAAGAAAAAGAACTATGCATACCAGTACCGGTACAGTACAGTAAATTACAGTACTGATATTGTGATGGACACCTGGCGCCACATCCATCTGCGATTTACTTGGATACTGTGGCTCCGCCCACCCCCCAATCCTTGCCATGTCAGTTGATGATCAATGGCTACAATCACGCGATTTTACGGTAATTTGACGGTTGAAAGTCATCCTCTGATGCACAAGATATTTATAGGTATGGTTCGTGCAGTCCAAAACCTCAACCAGGAATTTAGCCATTTTCAAATGATTATACCATCAACTCAAGTGACTTCAGAGACTCAAAAACCTCTGGATTATTCTCCCAATCTTTCTCTACAATATAGAGGATTTTTCTTGTTTCTGTCACTAATGTGGCTTGGCACAGAAAAGGTTTTCACATGACTCAAGATTATAAGTCATAGGTATGTTATGGTTTTGCGCATATGACTTATTTGGGTCATATGATTTGTTATATTATGATTTGTTATATTTTATACATGACTTGATTATGAGTTATGGGACATGCACCTGGCCAGTATGCCTTACAAGAGTGCCTTGCAGGTATGACCTGTGCATATGATTTAGGTTTCACACATGACCTCATTATGAGGTCATGGGTTTTATGCATGTGACCACTTGGGGTCATATGATTTATTTATTATATTATGATTAGATTATAAGTTTTCACACATGACCTTGTTACAAGGTCATAGGATTTGAGTATATGACTACTTTAGTCATATGACTAGTTTGTAATGATTTGGTTTCGCATATGTGACCACTTTGGGTCACATGACTTGGGGCAGGAAGAACACTATATAAGTAGGCCGGTACGGCTAAGGAGGATAGGTTCTTCATGCTTTATTCTAAGTACATTTCGTACTTATTACTTTAATGAATATAAAATACCTTTATACTCTTTATTATTATCACGATCTTGATTATTATTATGCTGAGAAACCTCTGTACAAAACAGAGTTAGAGAAAGCTTACGATAGATGGTCTAAATAGAAGATAAAGTTCTTGTACTATTAGTAACATAGGCGGAGGCCTAAGAGCTATCATATAGCAGAGGAAGAGAGAAGAAGATAAGTATCATTCCTCATTGCCAAGAACTAACTATCCTAAGGGGGATCATTACAGATTCTCAGATCAGTTAGTAATTATGTATAATCCTTTAAAATAAGGTATTTTTAGTGAGAACGTGGAAAATGTGTTACGTACAGCCATAACTTAATTGCCAAAATGGGGCATAATTTTGATTAGTAACTAGTTTTGTGTGCCAAGCTATAACATAAATGTGCAAAATATTAACTCAAACCTATAGCTTGTATACTTTTGTGAATATTAAACCTACCCTTGCAGTGAATATTGTATAATACTATATCATTGTTTCTTATTTTTTAGCTGACTATCTGTAATTATATCCTATTATCTGTTGACGTTTATTTGGTAAGTTATATTATTCCTCTATGTCTTAATAGATTACGCCTTTAATATATGAAGCTAGGAAGCAATAAGCAGTTAAAGACTTGTATGTTAGATGGTACCTGCTGTGCACAGGCACTGATTGCAGATCAGCTTGACTTTTGTAACTAGAAATGCCGATTACAGGAAGAAGCTGAAACAAAGGATCATCTAGTCTTATTCTGTCCAAAGTTCTACTGCAAAATCAATTTTATTAAATATATGTGGAGAGCTGCAAAGCACTACATATGTATTAACTGTGGATATAGCATTAAAGTATTGTGCAAACTAATTCTTGAAGCATTAGAATCAGTTCCAGTACAACAAATCTGGAAATATGCAAACTAGGTTGAGTGATTTTTAAATGCATATTGGAATAGAGTGGAATATGGTTCAAAGGAATTCATATATACAATATAGCACTAATACCAGAGCCATAGACATCTTAGTAATCGAGATCAATACTTAACCCATTATTCTATATATTTATACTTATATTCTATCTGAATTTATCATACTATCATATATTTCTTAATTTTATACAATATACTTGTAATATAATATTTATCATAATATTATTATATTAAAATACTACTATCATATAATACTTTCACATATTTAATCTAATTATAAGCCCTTAAGAGATGGTCCTAATACCTTATTTTAAGGTCAGTAATATTCGGTCTTGGCATCCAAGGCAGCTCAGCCACGTAACACCTTTTTTTTCAGCCTGGTTGAGGTTTTGGACTGCGCGAACCATACATCCCATTATTCAGCGAGGGCTTGGCGTAGCACGATGTTACGAGCTGTACTGGATTGTACCCCGAAATTCGACGTTGCCAGGCCCCAAGCGCCAGATCGTGGGTACGTACCTGTGCTCGTATCATACTAATACATATCACTAACCCAACTCACGGGAGAATCAGTCATCCACCTCCAAGCCCCAGATCCCGCAACACCGACGACGATGGAACAAAATACACAATCCGCGACCGACCCCAACTCCAGTAAGTATTTTGCCCTAAGTCCTTGACATACCCCGGAATTGGCGAGATTTTCACCCCACAGCTCCCCTCTCCCCACAGTTCTCGGCTGGCCACGATGGAAACCCCACGTATAACGCCGGGTGAAAGGTGGAATAAAAAGGGGAAGAATAGCGGGAGTACTAACGAGAGATCTACAGCTGCATCCCACCAGGGCGACCCAAACGATAGAGCTGACAATAGTAATGAAGTCGAAGTGGCTGGCCAGGTGCAGGACCCATCTGGTGCTACGGTTGTTCAGTATCTTTGCATTGGTCTCGATGGCATTGACTAACGACTTTTATAGAACGGCACGGGGAACGGAGTATCCAACAATCATAAAGGCCATTCCTTAGCATTCGATAGCGATCGGGTTGACAATGAGGCCACCGGGAATTCCACAGGGCGTAGCGATGCCACAAGTGCAAGATTCCGAGAAGACCTGGGGAGGGGAAAGAGATCTGACGAGTTAGAAGATTTGGTGGAAAATATGAAGGAGGCTGCGAAGGAGAAAGAATCTAAAGGTTCTGGGTCTGCGGAGGAATCAGCCCTTCAAGATTCTCTCAAAAAACGCATCAAGGATCTAGAGATGGAACTCTCGACACATCAAGCAGAAGCTACAGCGCTCCGCAAATCTCTTGCAGATCAGAAGGAAGCGACTACGAAGGATCTAGATGACAGAGGAAAACTGCTAGCGAAGGTGCAAGAAGAAAAGCAAACCCTTGATACCCAATACAAGACACTGCTTGGGAGAGTTGCAACTATCAAGAGCACCCTTGGTGAGAGGCTGAAGTCCGATGCCGTGAGTAGAAATTAACTTTCAAGTTCATAGCATCGAAGCTGATCTCCTGATATACAGGAAGAACTCGAACGCTGTAGAGCTATGGTGGAGGAGCTAGAGGACCAAAACCGAAGTCTTACTGAGAACGTCCAAGACCTCCATGGTCAGTTGGGGAAATCACAAGAGACCAGTAGGGAAACCTCGAAGGAGTTAACTGTTCTCCGACACCGCATGAACCTTTCTCAACAAAATTGGGCAAAGGAACGAGAGGACCTGATTAGCTCAGAAAAATTTCTACGCGAAGAATATGAAGCTGCTAAGCACGCTATGCAGGATTGGGAAGTTATTGCCCTCGAGGAGCGAGCTGTTCGCGAGTCGTTGGGAGAACGGCTTATTGAGCTCGAAGATCAGATATCCACTCAGAAAGCAGCATATGCTATGGTTGTCACAGAGAAAGAGAGGGAATCTAACGCAGTCGTTGGCTTGCAGAGATCCCTGCAAGATATACAAAATGGTATGTAGAGCTGTCACTTTTCCCTCAATTTTTTTTGCTTACATCGGAAAAAAAAAGCCCGCAAACAAGAACTCAGGGACGTTGTTGAAAGCACACAAGCTCAAATTTCTCAATTAATCCAGAAAGGAGAGACCCTGGAGAAACGTTCTAAAGAAGCTGAGGTACGGTTTGGACAAAATGTCTAAATTGCTGTGGATACAACTGACTTGAGCCATAGTCTCAACTGCTCCAGGCACAACAAGACCTCCAGCGTGTTTTACCCTTTGAAAAGGAAGTTAAGGAAAAGGGTCTGTTGATTGGAAAGCTTCGGCATGAAGGTATATCTTATACGAATCTCAAGCAAATTGTATCCTAACACATGTTGCGCGGACCAGCCGTTACATTGAACGACCATTTGCGAAAAGCCCTTCGGATGCTCAAGCGCGATAACGCAGATGACAAAATTGACAAGTAATTGACCGAATATCTCATACTCGTAATAATATCAACTAATATGGGCTAGACAACTAGTTACCAATGTCTTCCTCCAATTCGTTAGCATTCAACGAGGTGACGCCAAGAAATATGAAGTACTACAGTTAATTGCTTCTGTCCTTGATTGGAATGACGGTATGGCACTACTCCGCTACCTCTAGTTATGTTTACTAAATAAACCCCCTCGATAGAACAACGTGAAAAGGCTGGGTTGGTTCGCCCAGGCACTTCGGCAAATTCCTCCTCCAATAATACTCTTAAAACGCCCCCGTTATCCCCATTTCATCGCTCCCCAAGCACACCCACTCTCAGTGATGCTTATGATGGAAGTAAGGATGTAAGTTTTCTTATGTCTTCCAAGCTTTGCCCCTCCAGACTTACTGTTAACTTACTTGCTTCTAGTTATGGACATCCGTGTTTGGTTCTGAAAAGTCATGATCTATTTTTCCCCCTTCATCTTAACATTCCCTCAACCTTCCCACTGTAACCTTCTGCGCTCTGTACATATACCGGGGATACAAATGGGAGTTCATGGATCTGTTGTTAGCTGTCTTGTTTTGGTTTCCCTTCTTTCTCCTTGTTACTACAGTATGATACTTATTTCTTTGGTTTCGGGTTTTCTTGATTTTCCTCCCTTCGGAATTTTGCTCAGGCAACCAAGGGCATTTACGATCCATTAGACTGCTTTTTTAGGGTACTTTTTCGCTTTCCTTACAAAATAGCTCGCAATAATCAAAAATCCGCCGGCAGAACTAACTGCGCTCTCGGGAGCAGATATCTTGGAGTAGGGGTGACCGCATGGATAAATAAAAAGGTTGTCTCCAGGCATTTCGGAGTTTCACAGATGATACAGCACATGATGAGTGGGCTTGAGTTGTTTGAAAATCTGATAGGATAGGAGCTATTGGCTCTAAAATCAGAATTCGTGAACCATCTTCCTTGGCGTTGAAGTAATCACCAAGATACGATACTTGAAAGCTGACTGATGAGGGGGTGCATGAGTTACTGCTGCTTACTATCAGCAGTCATAGAATTTCCTGTTTCCTGTAGCTTCCATGAAATTCTTAACCAAGTTGCCCTCTTGGGTGCCGGGAGCGTTTGTCGCGGCATGGCTCCGGGCTCCGTGGTTGGTGCTAAACACAAGCAACTACCGTACCGGTACTCAGATGGAACTTGGGCAACGGATGCCGCCTTAGCCCCACGTTTGCCCTTTTCCTTCTCGGGTCCTCAACTTCCAGGCCCAGTGTCTCCCTCTAGTTTGTCACAGAGCAGCAACAACAACAATAATCTTCACTCGTAACCCATAAAGAAACCCGTTTAACTTTACCTTTATATATCTATTCGGTTTTACGAAAAAGAAATGTCCTCTAATCCTGAACCGGATGCAGATGCGGTATGATTTTCTGCACTTAAAATAAGCCAGAACCTCACCACTAACCCGGTCTAGATTCGCGACAAGCGACTTGCTAGGCTTGCACGACTTGGGGGATCCTCTTCGCCCAAACCCTCTGCCATTCCCCGCGATGGAGAAACGAGCATGTCCCAGTCTGTCGAGCAAGAGAAAGTAGCTCCGAGACCTCAGCCCCTGGCTCCTCCCATCACAGGTCTTATCACAGGGACGCCTACAAGTCAACTTCTGGATAGACCATCGGGCTCGACGTTGGAAGGAGTAGTTACATCCCCGCTTTCAGATACACCTTTGGCGGAAACGTCGTTACAAACTCAGCCAGCCGCAGGCAATCCCTCTTTAGGCGCCCTTATGGCTACGGAAGCATGGGAAGATAAGGCGCTGAGACAGATATTTCGAGTTGCTCTGGAGGTCAGTATTCAGGTTGATTTATTATTTTGAAGGATTTCTTATAAATTGTGGAGGCTAATATAGCCTACAGCCTGGGCCCCGCTCGGCTGGACTGTATGTCTTGGATGATCTCCGTAAGGAATTAGAAGAACAGTTGGATAGTGAAGGTAAACGTATGTTTATGACGCCTTCTCCCTGCAAGGAACCTTTATTCTGACTTTATCCAGGGCCACGCATTGACGTTACGATCCTTGATCAGTTAATACTCTCAGTATGCGCTAGACCAGAAGTTGTTCCAATGGATTACCTTGTGGGGTCGTGGAGGAGAGCTTCAAACATGCAGCGTACGATGTCTGCATCCCGAATGGATGATCGCAAAAAAAATATCCTTCAAACAGCACAGAGACTTTGTCTCAATTATGGAGAATATTGTATTTCCATGCCGGACATTTTCAAGTAAGCATTCGTAAGAGGAAAGTTGCGGTCTTTAATTCTCCTACTAATCCGTGATAGTAACGACCGCGCTTTTGTCCTACTAGCGGACCGGTTACAAACAGATGCGGACGAAGATCGTGGACTTCCTCAAGAATTCCTGAACGATCTCGTGAGCCGACTACCAGACTACCCTGACCTGAACCAATACTTCCAGGAAACACTTCGAACTCTTAGTGGTAGATTGAGTGAAATGAGCATGACAGACAACTACAAACCCCTTATAACCGCTCTGGGGAGACTTATGCATCACAAGCCTATCATTGGCATATTAGTAGATCTGCCGGAGTTTTTACCTCCCCCAGAAGATGTTCCGGCCAACCTTTTGGAAAAGAAAACAATTTTAGGCCCTTATTTCCAGATCTCACCCCTCCAGGTATTACCAGTTCTCCTCGTTTCGTATTTTGAGGCTATGGTCTAAACTCTTGCCTAGACAGCAGTCTGCAAAACCTACTTTACGGGTGCAAAGGCAAAATCTCCGACAAGTATCAACGACGCAACTAGAGCGTTGCGACTTTCACTCCAGACATTGCAGGTAAGCTTGTGAACAATATTGTATGAGTTCGAAGTTGACCGGGTTTCTTAGGATCAATTATATCAGATTGTTATGATGATAATTCGCGGTTCACCGGTGGCTAGGGCGAAGATGCTTGACTTTTTTGCCCGTGTGATCAATTTGAATTTGAAGCGTGGTGCTATTCAGGTGGACCCCACCACCGTAGCCTCAGACGGTTTTATGCTCAACATCAACACTGTTTTGACCAAGCTTTGCGAACCTTTTATGGATGCATCGTTCTCCAAAGTTAGTTCTGAATTCTTGTCCTGTCGAGCTATACTTCACGATATGCAGTTTGCTGAAACACAACTAGATCGATAAAATAGATATCGAATATTTCAGACGGCAGCCGGGTTTAGACATACACGAGGAAACGAAGATAAACGTAGATGAAAATCAGGCAAACGAATATTATTCTAGAAAGGTTGAAGGATCGAATAATTTCATATCCGAGGTGTTCTTTTTGAATGTTGCCGCTCACCACTATGGTCTCGGGGCGACAGAGACCACACATGACCAACTGGCAAAGGACATTGGGGAGATGGAAAAACATCTTGAGAGATTCGTGGCAGAAAGACAGAGGTGGCTTAACGTACGTTTTCATAGGTCACAACATCCCGCCCGCCTGCTAATCAGAAAAATAGTCACCCCAGCTTGCAACATGGGATCGAAATATAGAGCGCATGAGAGAACGAATAGACCAAGGTATAGCGTACAAATGTGCTCTTGAAGTCTTCCTGTTTGATGGTCTGTCGCAAACACGAACGCTTTTGTTCATGCGGTATTTAACAACCTGGCTGCTAAGGGTTGTTACACCGACTCACGGGTACCCGGAGAAGTTGATCAAGTTCGCGCGCACATTTCCTATCCCTTGGGATGACTGAAAGCTAATTTCGAACAGATTGCCCCTTCCTAAAGAACCACCAGAACAGTTCAGTTGTTTGCCTGAGTATTTCATAGAAGATATTGGACTTTGCTTTGGATTTGTGGGAAGGTATCTCCCGGAATGTATTGTGACTACGCAAGTTGATGAGCTCGTTATCTTCTGCATAACTTTTCTAGACATGTCAACCTACATCCGAAAGCCCAGCCTAAAGTCGAAGCTCGTGGAGATACTCTACTATGGTATCAGTCCATACCGAGGCAAGTCCACCGGTATACTCGGTGATGTCATTAACAGCCACCCCTTTGCTCTCCAGAATCTCATGCATGCCCTCATGAACTTCTATATTGGTATGTCTCTCAGAGGTCGCTTTCCCTGCCATGGTCCATAAGGCTAATATATACATGCAGAGATTGAGCGACAGTACTATGAGAGGTTTACCGTTCGGTACCACATCTCGGAGATCATCAAATCGATATGGCCAAACCTTGCCTTCAGAGAAAAGCTAGATCGGGAGAGCAAGTAAGTATATATTTCTGAGAATGACAGTCGAGAGCAGTGCTGATTGCCTTGCTTAGAGAAAACGTCGACTTTTTTGTTCAATTTATTGCGCTTCTTCTGGGTGATGTAACATATGTCTTGCACAACTCTCTGAGCGCTCTGGCCGATATCCACAAGCTCCAGCTCGAGTTAGAGAATGAGTCTTCAGAACTTACGACTCAGGAGAGAGCCGATAAAGAGAAGGCGTTGGTTAAGGCTGAGCGAGACGCCACATCTTACATGTCCTTGGGCAATGAAACGGTAGCAATGTTGAAGCTATTCACGTCAGCCATTGCCGATGCATTTGTCAAGCCAGAGATTGTTAATACATTGGCCGGCATGTTGAATTTTAATCTTGAAGCCCTTGTGGGCCCAAAATGTAACAACCTTCGTGTACGCAACCCCGAGAAATACAAATTCAACCCGAAGGCCCTACTTTCGGAAATCACGGACGTCTATCTCAACCTGCGAACATTCAAGCCGTTCGTCAAAGCGATTGCGCTCGAGGGCCGTTCCTACCGCCCGGAATTATTCACCAAGCTCCAGAGCGTCTTAGAAAGGAGCAACCTAAAGGGGACACCAGACATCGCATTGTTGGCTAAACTTGCCGCTAACATAGAGGAGACTAAGAGAAGGGAGGAGGAGGGTGAGGTGGAGCTCGGTGAGATTCCGGATGACTTTCTGGGTACGTTCTATATGCCTACATATATACCAGTCACAATGGGTCAATCACATTTAGCTAACTCATTCCCAGATCCATTGATGGCAACATTAATGGAAGATCCTGTCATCCTCCCCTCTTCCAGAGTCACTATCGATCGCCAAACTATTAGAATCCATCTCCTGGGAAATCCTCTAGACCCCTTCAATAGGTCCCCACTGAAAGTTGAAGATGTCATTTCGAGTACGTTCACCTTTTACCCCTTCTCTACACCAACCCTATACGTATAAAACATATAATTAACGGGGGAATAGACACCGAACTCAAAAACCAAATACAAGCATGGATCAAGGAGCGACGTGCAAAAGGCACTATCAAGGACGACAACGGTGACGAGGAAGCGATGGACCTTGACCCCTAAACCTTTAATGAGGTGGGTTACAAAAAAGGCTTGCTCCTACATTTTATAAGCACCATAAAACAAATGGGGCACATGGCTATTATTAAATGTGAACCCAAATAATGGAGTGCACACCTATTTGAACTGTTCTTTTTTGCCACATTAATTTTTCATTTTCATTGCTATGATACTTCCACCATTGAGTCATTGCCAATAAAGATGTTGTACCGTACGTAATACAAGGAGTTTTTTCTTGTTTTATCTTAAGTCTGTAGAATTATTCGTAAATATAGAGAAATCCATGGCATACACCCTAAGGTTTGACCAAAGAAACCGACGACAGGAAACTTCGATCCCCGTCATGCTGTAAAACAAATAGATATCGCGACCATCACTGTTATCATAATCGAAGATAAAAAACACGGGAGGTTTTTCCTTTTACGAGGACCAATTATAATCATACTGGAAGGCTTAATCTGTTTCAAGATATAAGAAAATTTTCTGACTGCTTCCCCACGATCGTAATTGCATCGGGTTAATTCTAGTTATATGCTAAATATTTCCGGGTTCTTCCTTTTCCCGTAATGCCCAAGGACGGACAGTGTGAAAGGTCCGTGGCAGATTGCGGTTCGCGATCCTAGTTCAACCAATCTGTTTGTGCGTTGAGGTAGGGCTGGACATCTGTTGAATTCTGACGGCTTAGAACTCTAGGGGAGCCATGAAGCTCTAGCATTGCCATCACAAGCCGAGAGCCCGAGACAGTGTACGACAAAAACATGGTGGAAAAAGTACTGCTACAACAGGGAATTCATAGTTGGACTTCTTAAATCTGGTGCTGAAGAATAAAGCAACCTATGATTGCCGATTATCCCTTCCAGAGGCAGAGGGTAAAGAAAGCAACATATTGTTAAGACAAAATACCAAACCAGGAATCTCGCACGTGACCAACACAAAGCTCCATTTCAAAAAAGAGGAAATAAGATACGGATGGGTAAAGAAGAGGGAAAGCGAAATAAGTAGAAAAAAAAAATACAGTCTCCGGATATTTCCCTGGCATCAGTTTGCGCTATATTGACTGAACTGAACGACACCTTGCCAATTTGACTCGTTGCTTTGATCTCCCGTTCGTGAGACGTTTCCCCAGCATGTTTTCCCGTGCTATAGGTAGAGCTTTTTTTTTTTTTTTTTTTTTTTGAGAAAACGGAGGGGAAAAAAGCACATGCCACACCGTTGATTTAAAACACCATCACCAAACCCGGAACTACCGTTACCACCAATCTAAAAAAAAAAAGAGACTCCCAAAACTACAACACAAGGCACTTTGATTTCTTGGGTTTCTTCTGCAGTAGAGCACAGCGAGTAGCGTGCTCAAAAACCTCACGAACACCCTCATTGGTCTTGGCCGAGCACTCCAGATAACGATCGGCATGAATAACTTTCTTGACGGCATCGCCCTGTATAAAACATTAGCATGTCCAAATGAGGTTTACATATAATTGGATGTATACCTCGGCCTCGGTCACAGGTTTCTGAGAAGTCTTGGCGAGTTCTTGAACCGTCTTCGGGTCATGTCGAAGATCTTTCTTGCAGCCAACAAGGATGACGGGGAGACCTTGACAGAAGTGAAGAACCTCAGAAATCCACTGTCATGCCCAACAAAGTCCCCAAGTTAGTAAACTAAATATTTGCTGATATCCATTGGTCTGGGGGGACTCAAGTACCTTCTCCTGAACGTTATCAAGGGAATCGGGCGAGTCGATTGCAAAGCAAATCAAGATGACGTGCGAGTCAGGATAAGAGAGAGGACGTAGACGATCGTAATCTTCTTGTCCTGCAGTATCCCACAAGGCCAGCTCTACATGCTTTCCATCGACTTCGACATCGGCGACGTAGTTCTCGAAAACAGTGGGGACATAGACCTATAAAGATAACTTCTGTTAGCAATAAAGTTGGGATATAAATAACTGATTGGTATGATGGCTACATGGTCCAAAGCATACCTCAGGGAAAGTGCCCTTGGAGAAGACGCTGAAATATTTAACGTTATTAGTGAAACAGTGGCTTGGAAACAAGAGTTAGATTGGAGGGAGCATTAAGCAACATACATCAACAAACAGGTTTTGCCACATGCACCGTCACCGACGATGACCAACTTGCGTCTGATTTCAGCCATTCCTAAAACGATTGCGGATATTGTTGGTTAGAAAGGTGATACACGAGAGAAAAGCAGTGAAAGCAGCAGCGGTCGGCAGGCGACTGAAGCAGGGGCGGGAAAGATAGGAGTGTTGGGGAGAGAAAAAGTGAAAGCTTGTTTTCAACCTCCCAAAACTCAAGCTCGTGTGGAGAGAAACACGAGGGAATGAAGTTTTGGGGGATCAGGGAATGGTGGTACTCACTAAGTGATGTTTTTTAAAAGAGACTTGGGTTAAGGGGATGGTTGCAGACCTGTTTGTCCGGGGAATGGGTGGGAGAGAATAGAGAGGGGAGGCGGACAACAGCAGCGGTATTAAAAGGGGAGCGACGGGGAACTAGAGGGAGCGGGCTTGGGTGTGGAGATGAAGAAGCTTCTTGGGGGTGGATGGGGGAAAGAAGAGAGAAGGGAGAAGGTTGTTGTGGAGAAGTAAAGTGGTGAGAGAGTGGTTGAGCGAGAGAGTGAGTTGAGGGCTCGGGAAGAGAGAGGTGGTGGACGGATGAGGTTTGTTAGTGAAGGAAGAGAAGGGGATGGGAGAGAGGACTGGTTGGCTGGGGAGAGCTGGTTGGGGCCTTGGCCCGCAGCTGAACGGGGGGCTGGCCTGCTTGGCGGTGCTTCTGGTGCTGGTTGTTGCTGCCTACATTTGTGCCGGCATTGCAACATACTCGTGGAGTACGAGTACTCGTACACACAACCCAGAGTCTCAGACTCATTCATTCTCCATACGATTTCGCCTCCATGCTATGTGGAACATCATTTATACAAATACCGGTAGATACAAATTGTGCATCTCGTACATACTAGTCATATACCTTATATTTCCCGGAGCCCTTTGAATATTTCGCCATGTTTGTGGAGGGGATTCTACTCCTATCTGTCTGTCATCTCGAATCACCAACCATACAAATATGTAACGTACCGGTATGCTATCATACCCCTTGATTTGATACAGGGCCTCGAAGCATGTACAGTACCGCACGGATACAGTACGAGTACTCATACCTACTCATACCATGCCGTTATGCTTGTAATCTTGCACGAAAATAAAAACAATTCGGTAGATACCAGCTCCTCTAATGCGGTAAGGAAAATTAAAGCACAGAAAAAATCTATCCAGATATGTTTGAATCCGGAGTTTCCCTGTCACCGAGCTGACAAATCCCAATATCACACAAAAAACCAGCCCAAAGGGTCACCTCCCCCTCAGCAAAACTTTTTCGAAGAATTAGGTGGGATCACTGGGTTCCTTATTCAGATCAGATATAGCGGTACTAGTATTTACCGATATCCCCAACTTCCAGATCTCGTATGATGTTTTATCCTTACTGTAATTTTTCACCTTGTAATAAAACCATTTTTCCCTTGTTCCTCCTATCCTTATCCCCCCCCATAGTTATTTTACTCACACCTCCGTCCGTTCTTCTCAAGAATCAAGACCCTTTTCCCATTGAACGGTCTTACGAAACTGGTGCCCTTTCCCAATTCATTCCTGTGCTGCGTACGCGTCTTTGTCTGTGGCTAATGATTGGAGTTTGGTTGGTTGGATAGGGCCTCCAGCTGAAACCTTACCCATGACTATTTTCACGGACTCACTAGCCACCAATCCTCCTCCCCTTCCCAGCTTCACCACTGCAGCTTCTAACGGTGGGCTAAGCCAATGTGTGCCGGGGTGTCTTGCTTCATCTATTCGCTCATTTATGGGATTGGTGTTGGAACGACGAATGTGTGCTTGTGGGGGGGATCTCAACGATATCTATACTACCGCCAACTTCAGTGCTGTGGGATGCGATAATACCGTTTGGTAATCAAGGGGGACAAAAGAACAGGACTTAACTTGCAGTGCACTCTGGTACCGATATCGTACTCTTAGTCACAGAATGTAAAACCACCGAACAATAAGCTGTTAGGTACGACCTCGTGGTCGAAGCTGTGAAGCTAAGTCATGCGTGCACTAGATAGTGTATCGGCTGATTCCTGAAATTCCAATGCTCTTCGGTGATCCGATCCAAGGTGGACCACGAAAACTGGACCGCGAGGAACGGGGATATTTGGAAGTCGAAAAAGTGGATTGGTCAAGTTAAATTAGGGTAACAAAAAAGTTACCTGTTATCACCGTGATCAGGCTTCTTCACCCGCCCGTTTTCATCGTGCCCAGTTAGAGACTCGGTTTGGAAGAGAGCGGACCTGTCCAAAACAGAGAGCCCTCAAGGGTCTCTCTCCCCTCCAGAGATCATGAGCGTTCTATCGTACATAATGCAGAGCGAGATTTCAAAGGAAAGCCTTCCCCCGCTTAAGGCAAAACAAATAAATAATAACGTAATTAGGAGTGCTATGGATTAACAGCTGGTTATGGATCAGCTGGTTTTGTAGGAGATTCAGAACAAGAATTTACTTATCTTTTGCCCAGAGCGGGCATGCGAGGCTGGTATCCTCCGAGTATAATAAAGTGGGTATGCTTTACCAAAAACCAGTAAAATTCTCAAAGTGTACAAAATAGGTTGAATAGATTCCACCATTTATTAGCTAGTAGGGTAGCCTGTTGCAATCTCAAAATATCTCTAAGGGTGAAATTAGAGCAATAATGGCCTAATATATAACAACCTTGGAGAATGACAGCTGTTACAGAATGTCAAACCTATACCCATACTGGTATCAAGAGACTACCAGGATAGGAATAGTAAAAGATATTAGTTGACCAAATAAAGGTACTATTGATTAGATACCTTAGCTGGACATGTCTCACCTTACTAGAAGGTACTTAGGTACTAGGTAAGGAGGACAGTTATCCAGCTGTGTAGGATAACGAAAGTAGTTGATTTGGCAGTTACCCTGATTTATTTAGTAGTGTATTGGAGCAGAGCCACTATCATATGGGTGTTGTTATGTGAAAAATGTACTGTTGCGTTTTAAAGAGTGTCGAGTTATTGAGGTTTAAAGTTTGCATAGCAACCAAGTAAATCTTGAGAAAAACAAGAAAAACAATTAAATCTCTAAATTTTATAATAACAGTACAACTAATGGTTGAATTTCACTTAAACTAAGTTTAAAAAACTTAGAATTTATGGTAATACAGACCTATGATAAAAAAAATAAGGAATATTGAAATTAAAAATTATCATTAAAAATTACATCTTTGTAGACAAGTAATACACTTAGTATCTCTCTAGTTGACAAGTCTCAATTGCCTTTCCTCTTCTTATTTGTAGAGCCTAGAGGGTATTTCCGACCACGTCACTTTATTGATCCAGTATCTGATATTGTAGTCTTTAGACTACTTGTGTCATGCTTATGATCTGTGTCCTGGTATATCTCCTGTTCTCCTCTAGCTTCCTGTATAACTGATCATTTATTAGTGAATAATTTCTCTAATTACATAGTATAAAGTACAGTCCTTGGAATGTAAACTTACTAGTACTGCTTTCTCCATTGTTTCCACTACCTGGTATTGTATCAGCCTGCTGAGTTTTAGACTTCTTTGCACATTGTACACATAAGCTTTACTTTTCCCTAACTGTGGAGATTAGTGTTGCTGTTGGCTTTGAATAAAGCCACTGAGATTGGTATTCAGAAGGAACATATTTTGAGTACTTATGCCAGAGATCATATCGCTTTTCCTTATATAAACCTATATCAGCAATAGCTTGTGGTGAAATAGTTAGAAATGAGTCCAGAGAGAAGTCCTTTTTACAAAGGTCAAATCTGACCCATGGTTGATCAGGTAGTTTACGTGCTTCAACTACCCCTGGAGCTGCCTTAGTGAATCAGAAAAATTAGAAGCTCTGTATACCTTCAAGGGTTTGAGATATTGAGATAAAGCCTGATCCCAATTGTGAAACATGCTTGCTGGTGTATCATTAAAAAGTCTTACTGCTTTAATCTTCCCAGCCTTATCTGCAGAGTCAACTAGCGAGGCATAATGCTTAGGAATCCAGACCTCCATTCTATTAGCCTTTTGCTTTACAGTTCCAAATCCTCTGTCAACACTATTACATGTATGGCCCTTGATTTGAAATCCAAGTATAATAGAGTTAAGATCATGGCTTAAAACTAACAAGTAAAGATACCATCGTATGGTTTTGTTCTTGTTTTGCCCTCCGCAGTTATCTGCCCATAGCTGTATCTCAGACTTCTCATTCTGAATCAATGTTAAAAACAGATGCAATAGTGATACAACTTGATTAGCCCCTTTTCCTTACTGTCCCTCTGTATGCATTGTATGATAATGATGTTTAGTGCCTTCATTGACAATATCTAAGTTATATAACTTGAAAGGTGACCAATAGTACCACTCAGATGGCTGTTGAGGAATACTTAGAATTTCTACTACCTGCTGAAAGTCAAAGGAATAACAACTAACCTGGGCTTGATCTTCCTTTGCCATCTTGATATCATTTTCATACTCACTTCTGCAAGCTCTGTACTCTTGACAGTGCATTTCCAACTGCTTTAAGTAATGGGCTTTATTGACTTGCATACTATCACTCCCCTCAGACTGTACATCCCCATCAGATATCTCCTCTAGGCGGATACTTGACTTGAGCTTAGAGTTACTTTTAAGTATTGCACATTCCTCACAGGTATATTTAGAGAGCTTGTGGATCATCATAAAGCAGAAAACCTCATGGGTTTTTCAATACCTGTAAAAGTACTCATATGAAGGAATCCACTGCAGATTTTGATGCTTAATCTCTTCAAAATACCGATCATATAGTACTTGATATGACAGATATGAGGGGAGTAATGTGGCATGTTCTACCTCTATATACTTTACAATCTTACCATTTTTCAAATATCTTTTAAATACACAGGTTGCAATAGACTCACCTTTGTCTGTCTTGATTCTCTTTAGATATTCTTCTAAACCCAGTACTACAGCCTCTGCCATATGATTGTATGACCTTTTCCTATAATTACCATGGACTTTTAGTACTGGCATACGAAGAGTATGAATATGATTCAAGATCCTGTAATTGCTCATCTATCCATATCCTAAAACTTACAAAAGAGCTCCCGACAAATATTGCCAACAAATGGCAAGCAGTACTTCATCTTTTTTTGTTCAAACTCCTTTGGCTACAAATCTTAGCTTTATACTTTACAGAATATGACCACTTACTAGTAATTGAGAAGAGAAAAGATATATTATCATCAGCGTTTTCTTCTTTCTGTCAACTATATCATGAAATCTAAGCTATTGTTTCCACTCCTCAGTACTAGCTTTTAAAGTACAGCCTTGAGAGCAAGAGCATGACTTTAGAAATTGTCTAATATGTTCATGAAAATTGCCAGAATCTATTCAAGTTATCTATTAATATATCTAATTTACTTTACAACTAATAAGAAGATTCTTTATCTTACCTGAATGTAAACTAAAATCTGTTTTCGCAAATTCTGACTCTGTATCAGTCTCTAGCTCTTCAGACTCCCAAAGAAATTCAT